CCAATACTGTTAAGCAAGATCATTAAGCCACTAAGACAGGCACATGAAGCACGCACTCTCATTGATTAGTATGGACTGAAACTCGTTATGCTGGCATGTGACCTAGCCGCTCAAGAAGTTGTGTATTCTCGAGTTGAACCGTAAATACCTACTGATTCTCACACTACTTGTATCGTTTCAGTAGCCGGTCCTTCAATACGCTTTTGCATAGATGAGAAATTCACGGGGAACTTGATTGATTAAAGCGGAATCACAGTAAGGAATGGATTTAACACGCGCTCCGGCACATCTAATCTACCGAATAACAAAATATATCTCTAACTGACAGTTCAGTTCACCCAATCATTTTAGAACTGAGTGTGGAATAGCGATGGACTCGGCAGATCGAGACACATTTGAATTAGATTAGAGTATACATTAAAACAACTACTACATGGTTCAATGCTAAAACTCAAGATGGGCAAGCAGTGGGGCGAATTTGTAAGGGTAGTTCACTTGAAAAGCAAAGGAGACCGTGTTAACAAAGAGCGAAACTGTGACAACAGACTCGTGACTCTTAACACACTAGCGTTGACACCAGATTGAAGCACAGGGTTGCTCAAGGCTATGGTGTGCCTGAGAGCATGAAAGGTGTCAGTCTCATATTCGTACAGTTAGAAGTCATTCGTTCGAGGCATTTCGGGAATCTATTGTGCAGATTTCCCCTGATGCGGCGAGGTACGCGAAAGTATCGTGTCACTAAGAAGACAGAAAGATAAAGTAATAAAAGCGCAGAAAAAGGGAACATTTAAATAACTTTAAGTAGATTCGTCACAACGCCTCCTGGTTCGTACGTTTTAGTAGGTAAAATTGGGTGCAGTCGGTAGGCCGGATGAATCGACATCGTGGGTCGTAGCCTGGTAAACCATGATCTTGGCAAACTTTACGCCATAAAGAAAAACGACGGAATTGTTCTTAAGGACAAAACTGAATACCTGCTCCTATGACTGTCATGAATACGCAACGTGTTATAACGGAGTGCTATCGACTGTGTTAGCCGGACGAAAGAACGTGATGGAGAATTGCATCCCAGCACGACAACGTAGGCAACAGAATTTGAATACGTACGACCTGTGAGACTTAGGCGCAACATGGTTTCTACGCGAAAGTTGAACGGGTTCCTAGACCGAACGCGGACTTCACACTCGACCCCGAAAGAAAGAAGAACAAAAGACAGACTATTCGCAACAGTCACTACTTTTAGCCAGGTGGAAGGCAATTACAGCGTTGTCCAGCCTTGCTTATAGACCGCGATTGGCGAAATATGTGATTTTTTACGTAAACTGGCTTGCGTAAGCAAATCCTGGAAGTAACCCTATGTGAGTATGCTAACGGTCAGTAATCGGAACATATCGGAAAGTGAGTGTTGATAATTGCGGAGGTTGGCCGGAAAAATGACTGTTTCTTAGGTACAAAAGCTAATCGGAACATGAGTGTGGAGGCTGATAGAACATGTGCACTGGCCTGAATACGAGTCTCAGTGACTAACGTGGTTTCAGGTTGCGATCTTTTGGGGATGTTCGATCCCCATGGTTGGCGGCATCCGGTTTTGGATTTGCCTGTCACTGTGGTCAGTCACAGGACGCCTGCGCCTACAGAGGGACCATGGATGACTTGCGCTGCACCACTCACACCCCATATCCAGTGTAAACCCGAAGGAATAAGACCGGGAGGCATGTGGATGGGAGCCATGTTTCATCAACGGAGCCGCACCACACTCCTTCACAGGCAAATATAAACCGCTGTACTTGAAAATCAACGCACACAAGGCCCGATCCACACACTAAGAATGTTCATGGAAATACTCTTCGAGTCTAGCACGGCCATAAGTACCGTGCACTGCGTCCCCTCCAGCAACGCCCAACTGTCTTCTGAAACCAGTATGGACGAGGTAGTGGGTAATAGACAAGTAGGCACCTTGTCAACAAGCACATCAAGCGCAGCCCCACCTGGATTATCAAGCAACAACCAATCACTTGTAAGGACGATATCAAATGAAATAACTCGTAGACAATGCCCATAGAAATGTAAAACACAGGGTTGCAAAGAGATCTCTTTTCGGTAGTTCATACCAGGCAAATACAGCTACAAAACTGATAAATGCAACAGTAAACTGGTGAAGCCAAATGAGGACGGATGGGACGGTTTGAAGAGAGTTAGCACGTTCGTTCGATGCTCAAATCGATTTAATCAGGTGACGTCGTGACAGTGCTACAGCGAAACAACTTGTGTGAACAGAAGTAACAATATTAACAAAATAAAAGATAATTACATAGATAAATAGCATCTGGTTATGCGTAATACCCCATGGGCACGACTTCTCATCAGGGCCATGGCAAAGTCAAGGGTTGCACAAGCACCCTATGATTGCATAGCTCTGGCTGTGTTAGCCTGATCGCGATGGCTTCAGCCGTCTGCAAGAGGCGTTGCCTTAACCTTTTCGGGTAACGCCTTGATACGGCATAATAGACTTTGAAGGCACCTTTGGTCAAAATCTGATGCCCAGTTTGAAGCAAATGTTCCAAGATCGAACTGTTGATACTTCTGAGCGTGCCTCTCCGCAGTGACCCCGGACAGTGCTCAGCCATCCTTACCGACAAACGCCTGGCCGTATGCCCGAGATACTTGGCACCACAGGTGCACGTAAATTGGTAAACAATGTACGATTCAGACGACACCAGCAGTCTGTCTTTAAGACCTTGGGCTATAAAGAGTATGATCTTCGCAAGTACGTGCGGGTGGGCGGCCGAGTAGGCATTTTCTAAGGCGTTAGAAAGTTTCCTGTTCAAAAGATCGAAGGCAATATCTTCCTTAAAAGGGACAGAGAGAAACATATCCTTCTTCGAAACCGTTGCTACGGGTTTAAGGCTCCCACGGGTCATGGCGTGCTTTTTGATGAAAGATTCAGGGTAACCACTTGAAAAAAAGCGTTTACACAATTCGGTCTTTCTCACCCTCTAGTGCTTCAGGATGACAAATTTCGGTGGCCCGGTAATACATGCAACGCACTAAGTTGCGTTTGTACTTCAGAGAAATGAAACGCGAAAAGTGTGTGTACTGGCCAGCCCATGTAGCTTTGAGAAAGACACGTCGCACAAGTGAGCCGTCCTCGCGCCTCAACAAAACATCCTGAAAAGGCAGCTTACCTTCGTTTTCAGTTTCACTAGTGAATTTCAATGAGGGATGTGCACCGTTGAACCGGTAGAGCACACGGTTGACATCAGTTCGAGAATCACAGATGATGAAAGTGTCTTGCATATACCTCCAATAAGAATCAAATGACGCAATAACCGTTTGGATAGGATTACGCTCAAGCTTTGCGACATCTGCCTAAACTCAAGGAGCTAATTTTACGGTGTACCTTTAATAGACAATTCTTGTTTGACGGGATATATTATAGGCAAGTCGATGGCGCGTTGATGGGGTTTCCCCTTGGACCCTTCCTTGCCGACATCTTTCTCGCAAAGCTTGAGCGTGGTCCTATCCAAACGGTTATTGCGTCAGTTGATTCTTATTGGAGGTATATGCATGACACTTTCATCATCTGTGATTCTCGAACTGATGTCAACCGTGTGATCGACATGGACGGGTCAATATACACACTTTGATAATGCCAGTTCGAGAGAAACAGAACCTAGTCCGGTGTCTTGTGGGAAGAGCGATGAAAATGTGTTCCGATGGCACAACTGAAGCCGAGCGCGCTATAATAAGAAAGTGTGTCTTAATGACGGTTATGTCAAGCATTCATAGACAGGAATATGCAAACTGTGGGATCGTCAAAGCATCTACAGTAGTAAAGAAGCCTGCATACTTATCGTTGCCATTCAAAAGTGATACTAGTTCCGAATACCTTTAAGAGTGGTCGTCAGTAACACCTGTGGGGCAACACACGTACGCATTATCTTCCCCACCACGTCTATACTACACCTTCAGCTGAAGGATAAACTGTCTGTGGATGTCACCACTTTCTGTGTGTATCTATTTACCTGTTCCTGTTACGTAGGTCGCACCATGAGACATTTGTCTGAACGCGTTCACGAGCATCATTCAGCATGGCTAAGTCGAGGATTCAACAAGACGTGTACCACGGCAGTTGTCGCGCACCATACTAATCACCCTGTCGTGATCAACAAGGCCTTTCGCCCGATCTACCGTGTGAGAAGTGTCCATTCCAAGCTTATCAGATGCAGAGTCCTTGCATTGGCGCAATCGATCGCGATTCATCTCAACAACCCCTTACTGTGTGTGTGCATAAACAATTTGTCAAATCTTTGGCTATACCATGGCCAGCCGTCGTACGACCAGCTGCCGTGTGAACGACTCACACCCATTATGGGCATTTGGACATCTACATTTGCTAGCTACTCAATTCATGCTTCCTTATCTTAACTATTTAAATGTGCTGTATTTGGCCTGACGATGAATCACCGAAAACGAGCTTGTTTGCTAGCCCGTCTTTTCATGACAAAAATGGGAACGTATCCCGTCTGCTAGGCGTCAGCAGTATGGCGACACACCGACGCTTCGCTGCCACGCGACCATCACCGGTCGCACGTGGGCTGGGTGTACCGCGAGGTCCCCTCACACACACACACCTACGCGGATATGAAACGGTGACTATCGGATGACAAGGCAAGCATGTAATCTTTTCGGCTACCGGTCGCCCTGTCTGTCAGGAAATATACCCGACTGCTTACATAGCTAATTTCTAGGTGACAAACAGGGCTAATTTCAATATAATGGCCGCATTTAGGATGCACGTTAAAATTCCTGGCTGATACAGAAACGGTAGGGACAAAAGTTAACGTTCAGCGGGTACAATCTACGTACACTTAAACGGAATACAGTGTACATACTAGTCGAATTCCGAGGAAAGCAGTTTACGGACCATGCTAAACGGTATCACAATCGGGAATCTGAAGTTTGTGGATAGTGATTTTGTGATATAAATGAGTACTCACTATAGCATCCAGACACGCCTCAGCCAGATGTCGATTGGTCAAAAGTGTGGCCAGACGAGGTAGGCCAAGCCAACCTGGCATTGTAATACAAAATGTAGGGAGGTGGTTATCGCTCGTGATGTGGACTGGAACCAAGAAGGTGGGAGCTGGAAGTGCTCTCACAACTCCAATGCGGACCAGATTAAGCAAATACAAGCGTGCGACTGTAACATCAATCCCAGTCAAACGTGCCAACTCGGGTAAGCAGTGACGTCCGTCCAAATATGGTAGAATGCGATCGCCGAAGAAATCAGCGCACTTCCATTTCACTGAACCAGCTTTCCGTTGACTCACTCGGTGAGGATAGATTGTATCAACGAGGACGAAGACGCACTCATCGGTAACCTCCGATTCCGTTGGAGGAGCAGTTTGTGTGGCAATCCAGGGCAGGGAGGAAAAGGACCGGATCACCTTGGCTTCGTCTACGTCAAGCAAGTGCTGAGAACGCCGTTCGTCATCAGGGACCAAGTCATCCGGGTCAAGGAGGACACGACTGCACGATGCATTCAATCGGCCAGGAATAAACTGCCGAAGAGAAATTGACCAAAATATAGTGAGGGATAAGAACGGTAGAGTGAAAAAAGAGAATAATGTGCGGCAAAACTATGAGGTCTTCTCGGTGAACCGAAAGTAGGAGAAATAAAGACGATACGAGTAGATGAAAGAAAACACCGGCAAGAATAAGGAGCTTAAGCCAGCGTGCAAAAATATTACACGCTTCTAGGACCTTGACACACACAGATGAGGTACAAAATTATGGAGGAATTAAGAAGTATATACCGGGGCATTGGGAGACAATGTACATGTTTGAAGTTGGCTCCTCACGCAAAATTCCCCTAAACATAAGCATTGATCATGATCCCCTATACCAATCAATAAGACAGAAATAAGTCAGTGGAATTAGAATCTAGCCCTTGAGATGACGGACGAAACATCCAATGCAAATGAGTCCAGAACAATGTCCAATGCTACCAACAGAGTTGCAAGAATCCATCTCACATCACAGCAGTCTAAAGAACAGCCAATGGGAATCGCTCAAATGCCTAAGAATACAAATGCGTGCCAACAATCCGGATGAAGCGAAGCTACCAACGTTCGAAGATTGTTTGAAGGTCAACATAGTAGCGGGGCATATGAGTCATCAAAGTTTCCACTGAGCAAAATGATTACAAGAAAACATTGGGAACGTTAGATCAGTCAGAAACGAGAAGACCACGGCTAGCTTGTCCAACCCGGCCCGTAGCCTTAAGGATCACAAGCTTACTTGCAATCTGACGACGCGGGTTCGAGTCCGTGTAGGGACCGGGCGACGCTCGGCCGGTGGCCGAGTGGTCTGCACGTTTGGTTTGCAACCATAAGGTCACCGGTTCGAATCCGCGTATGGGTGGGCGTCCTCGTGGTACACTCAGCCCGCGCGCGACTGGTGGTGGTCGCGCGGCAGCGAAGCGCCGTTACGGCGTACAGCCGACACATTATTATTATTATTTATACCGGGCGACGCTCGCAGTATCCACACCCCAGTTGCGACTGGTGGTGGTTGCGCGGCAGCAAAGCGTCGGTACTGCGTACCGGCGTACTGCTGATGCGACAACAAACAGCCAACAGCACATCTTGAACAACTTCATAGACGACACGAAAAGTCGGATGGGAGAGGGCTAATTCAAGCGCACATGTGAAATGGGAATGATGTAGTTTGTAGTTCGATGAAAAACAGTCCGGTGCATCAGATGACTTCAGACGAAAAATTAGGTGAAGAATGTTGTCCAAGGTGTTCAAGCGGCATCATGGCTTCAGAAAATCTCACGGGCCGAATTCGGAATTGAGTGACGCAACCCAGGTGTATGAATAATATCTCAAAATAAAATAAATAATTCGTAACGATTGCGTATATCTTCAGAGATGGCATGACTGCACACAATGATTAGAACCCTCAATCACATTGCCGAGCCAAATCGAGGACCCACAGTATTCTGAATTGCAGTAACAAACAATGTTCGCGAAGCGGAGTAACACAACGACATAGTGCTAATCAGCAACTACGGGGTCCAAGTATAATAGTTAACTCCGGACCCGAACCCACACTGTCGGATTACAAGACAGGCTTGTGGTCCTTAAGCCTAGGGCCAGTTCCTCACATTGAGTTTTCGATGCCGCCACGAACACCGGCAATCGCTTTCGCGCTAGGGATCCTGCAAAGTTGCCCGCATCCATGTAGGATCGAACCTGTGATTGGCTGATCCCAAGCCAGACGCCTGAACCATACTGCCACAGGCTGAGCATCCTTGTTCTAATTTTTTGACACCCCGATGAAAATAGAGGTTTAGTGTCTGGACAAAGTTGTTGAAACGCCAAAGGATGGTCTCCAAAGTTATAAACATAGCGGTAAGGACGTCTTTCCTGTACTAACGTCCACGATAGTGTCGCTTTTGACAGAGGATCAAGTGAATATCTATTTAAAAAACGCGTTAAAACAGAGAGATCGAATACTAAGCCTGGAAGGTTTTGGAGCCGAATCGAAAAGTCAATCAACGCATAAATAGCAAAGAACGGATCATCCAAATTTTAGACTATGTCTAATAAACCACTGCGTGCTAGACGCAATACAGAACGTCCGCCTGCTAATAAGCGACATCAGATGGGTAGAACAGTGGTGCCGAAAAAGTAGTACTTATGCTTCACTAAGAAATGATCCAGAAGCTGATGGGTGTCGATAGTCATCCCATCGCTAGAAATGGTCAGAGGAAAGTCATTCGAGCAGTGGATCCAACATAACTGTCACTGATCCATTCAAAAGTGTCACACAGATAGCTTCAAACGCCAGATGGCATGACGCTGACTACGGAGGATGCGGCGAACGCCTTGCGGCTGCAATATGCTTCGAACTTTCAATGCATTCCTTGGTCATCTGTTCCTTTGTCAGCAGCTGTTATACAACCAAAACTTACGCACATAACTTTCACGGCGGGGATGGTATTAAAGAAGTTGTTGTGTATGCGTAAGCACAGCTCTCCTGGAATCGACAACATTCACCCTAAGTCCCTTGTGGTAATGGGAGAAAGTTTAGCAGAGCCTCTGGCACGATTCTTCCAACGCTGCTTCGATCAGATGTATGTACCCGAGATGTGGAAATGTGGGATCATAATCCCAATTCACAAGGGCGGTAGCCGTTCTGATCCAGCCAACTACCGTCCCGTAACCCTTCTCCCGGTCCTGTCGAAGGTTATGGAAGCTATTGTCGCTGACGTATTAACAGCCTATCTAGAAGAGTCTGCCTTCCTTGCACATGAACAGCATGGTTTTCGACGGAATCGATCGTGCACCACAAATCTGCTGCTAGCAAGATCGAGTTGGACCAAATTAATTGACAGCGGTGCAGGAGTGGACGTGGTGTACCTAGATTTCTCAAAGGCCTTCGATCGACTAGACCATGGAATCCTGATCTGCAAACTTCAGAGCTTTGGCATTGGTGATCCGCTCCTAGGATGGATCACAAGCTTTCTTCTCCACCGGAGCTTAGAGGTAAAAGTGCGTGGGTCCCTGTCCCACCCAATCCAAGTCGAATGTGGTGTACCACAAGGATCGGTACTGGGGCCACGATTGTTTTTGATGTATATTGACGACATAGCGGCCCTCGTTCTTTCCAACTGCCTACTCTATGCCGACGACATCAAGGTCTGGAGAGCGATCAATACACCAGACGACTCCGCAATACTTCAAGAGGATCTGGATAAGGTGTATGCGTGGTCAGTTCAGAACCAACTCCCATTCAACACAGAAAAATGCAGAGTATTACACTTACGTCACCAATCAGCATTTTTCTATAAACTGGGTGACCATGTGCTTCACACAACTGCTGAGGAAAAGGATTTAGGAGTCTTGATTCAGTCCGACCTTGGTTGTTCAGCCCAGGCAAAGAAAGCATCGAACGCGAGCATTCGAAATTTGGGCCTTCTCAGGCGCACATTTGGACGCTTCGATCCATCCGTTTTTCACCAACTTCTAGGTGCATACATACGACCACACGTGGAGTATGCAATACAAGTCTGGCAGCCGTGGCTGAGGAAAGACCTCTCTGATTTAGAGAAACCTCAACGACGCGCAACGAAGAATGTGAAAGGTTTAGGCCAGTTACGCTACGAAGACAGACTGAGATCGCTCAGGATATTTAGTGGTCAATATCAAAGACTACGGGGAGATTTGCTTTTGGCTTATCAGATTCTGACAGACCCCAATCATACCTGCCGCCATCTGCTGGAGCTCAGTAACAACAACAACCTGAGAGGCCATCATCTGAAGCTGGCAGGGCAGTACAGCCGTTTGGAATGTCGACGGAATATCTTTTCCGTGCGTGTTTGTCAAGCCTGGAATGCTCTCCCAGAATCTGTAGTCAGTGCACCGAACCTGATCGAGTTCAAAAATCGAGTTGATAGTGCACTCACTTCATTGCACTATCTCCCATAGCATAGTCTAATTTTGAGAGATCCAAAATCCATACTTTAAAAATAATTTTCCCCCACGCTTATTTCAACAGTGGATTCACATTTTGACGCTTCAAACTCAAACACGTTGCCCCATGCGAATTTCAAGGGGCGGTGACTCTTTTAACCAAATACTCCATACCTCATGATCCCCTCCGGAGTTATAGTGGATTATTATTTTGACACTTCAAACTCGGTGAGTCCACAAGTTTGTAGTGACTCGTTGTTAAACGATTTTACTGAATTGGTTTCCACTGAATTTTTCACACTTCTATGATTTTCGCACTGATCACCCTACGGGATCTGTCAAGCTTTAGCTTTTATACCCGCATAAATCCATTGTTCCATTGTTCAGCGGGTGCTTGAGCAGAGGCACATATGAAGATGATATGTGACGGTAATTCTACTAGCTTGAAAACACTCATCCATTGCGTCACGTATAGCCGACAAGAGTGTGAGGATTAGCGAATAAGGTTAGTGATGAAAGCTGCCTATCATGACACACGGTACCGTGAACGGATCAACAACAGTCGATCTCTTGAGTTCAGCTCAGTTGAACAACTACAGTGCATCAAAGTACTACTGGTAGTAAGAACAGCGATAATCCAGAAGCAACGAACAGAAAATAAAATCAAGTAAAGTTCCTTCGCAGCAGGTTGAAAGTCAAATAGAATGCAAAGCGTTCGAAATAACTACACAGCCATCCAGCCCTGTCGAGACTCCTTAGAAGCGCACATCCCTCGGATCTCTCAGGATCAGAGGATAACCTATTTAAACTAGTCCAATCCAAAGTATGAGGCGCGAGCAGAAGTTGTGATAGGAGACGAGTATTGCAAATAAACACTGCAAGTGATCGAAAATCAAGACAAAAATCCAGCACCTTTTGTGAAAGAGATGAGAGGAAAAGCTCAGCGTAGTTTTAGTTGGCCGGATGCCCCCAGATAAAATTAATAGGATCTAAGAAAACCAACAGGGTGGAAACTACTGTTAGTACTAAGAACAGAAAGCAGTGCGATAGCGTGAATACAGAAGAGGCCATTGTACTAA